TATGCAGTTTTCCCCTGTTCTAAAATGTTACATTGCCTCTCCTAAGGCTTACTTACTGTCAGCAAGAGCTGTAACCTACAATACACTCTTTGTTTTCCTCATGTCGACCCACTCATTGCCTTTGGCCATACTTACCACTGGAATGTGACCCTGAAAGCATGTGTGAAATTGAGTTCAGTCCTTCGGCTGAAAGTGAATCCCAGCCCTGTGGCTAATGGACCTGTCCTTCTCCATGAACTTGCCTAACCTTCTTTTGTTATAGCCATTTAAGCCAGTGGTCATCACCAGGAGTTATGGCAACAGACTTCATACAGGTCTTTGTTATTTAAAGGAACGATTTCTTTTGTCTGTACGGAAACAACTGCCAGTTAATGTCAATAATTCCAGTATTTAGGGACAAAGATAGAAGATCTCTCTAGACTTTCTTTTCAGACCATCTGTAATTTTATAAACTGATATAACACACTTATGATATTCTTCTCTACCCATTTACTCGAGAGTAAGTCCAAGTAACGTCAGTGAGACAAACTTCTGAGTAATGATGTATAGGATTGTGCTGCCAGTCACTTTTGTTTAAGTTAAACAAAAATCAGTTGCTTCAACATTTTTATGCAGGCAAGGGAGGCCAATGTTTTTCAGAAATCCAAGTATATTTATTTCTCTGTTAAAGGAAGCTCATTTGAGGAAGGAAACTTTCACATCTGACCCATAGTATCTACTGAACCGTTAACAGCATGATTCCTGACACTCTCAAAAGATTCTAAAAGACTGCTGATGCAGGAATGCCCTTTGCAGAAGCCATGCTGATTTGTCTTAATTAAGGCTTGTTCTTCTATATTTATGATAAGAAAAAAGTATGTATGGCTGGCTATCAGTGCCATGGCAGTTAGACTGTGAAATTTGGCATGCACCATAAGGGGACCCTAACCTTAATGGCTTAGGGTTATTTGACTTTTTTAAAGTTCTTTAAAAAAAATTTAAATGTGTCCATGTGTTTTAAGTTGGTAGTAGTATCTTCTGTCCCAGAGCTGCAGATTTCCCTAACTAGTACATAGATGTGCACTCAATACTTGATACAGTTTGAAGCCACTGAGTAGTAATCTGAGAAACAGATTTCTATAGCTGCCCTCTTTTTGCCGCTGCGGGGCAGCACCTGTCAGAGGTGTGGAGTGGGCAGACCCCCCTCCCTCCGGTGGCTGCAGAGGACATGCTTAGGGTGCCAATGGTGTGGCTTTATTCAGTCGGAATGGGTACAGTGTGCCACACGTATAGCTTTGATACAAGTCTTCACTATTTCAGACTAAGGGCTATTTCAGCCCAAGCAAACTTACATCCATTCACTCTATGACTAAACAATCCACATTTTCTCTGGCAGTATTTAAGCACTCTTGACAAATCTAAAGTCACTTGTTGCTTTAGGAGAGCATTTCACAACTGGTGCCTTGCCAACATTTTGTACTTCAGTTCTCATCGGCCTCAAGCAGCAGGGCCAATGGTCAAGAATGCTGTGCAAGATAGTCCTAAACTTCTAGAAGACACCAGGTTGGTGATGGTTGCTTTAGGAACATAAAGCCACTTTCATGTTCATGAAGTTATACTATGTATACTTGACTTGGACATAAAGTCATTATTATATTTAGAAACGCTTAAAAGGAAGCTCTGTTAGTAAATTTGTGACTAGAGAATACACTGTTAGGGTGCAATCCTATGCATGTTTTGACAGAAAAAAGCCCTACATAGGTATAAAACATTCTGAGAAGATGCATGTGTGGATAATGAGTAGAGTTCAAGGAAGCTATATATAAAAGAACTGTTCCTTGAAAAAGTGGAAGCCTTGCCAAATAAAGAAAATTAAAAGAGCACAAACTCTGGCAAAGCAAATGTGTACTTGATATACTCTAACAGATTAGACACATGAGAAATGGACCATTTTACAAATGGTGCAGACTGGGACTCCTGGCAGATTCATTCAACATCTCTCCTCAGTTTATCCAGGGCCGGTTCTGAAATTCTGTTGATTTAACCAGCATTAAGCCACAGCAACTCTGTGTCTACTGATCAAACCCAGTTCTCTTGTATGGACAATAAGTGGGCATAGAATAGGTTCTGCCTGCTATAGTTTTAGACCACTGCAACTTGTACATAGTGAAAGAAAGAAATGTTCCCACATCTCAGCTTGTGGCTTGAAGTCCGTAGCCAGGCTCATGCCTTGATCAGCTCTGGAGGAACAGTTGTAGGCAGTTGCCTCCCCTTCTTTGTTGCTCTCTAGGGCACTGCATCTAGATAACGAGAGACATCCCTGAAGATTGGCCACCGTGATGGGCCAAGGTGCCAGTAGCAATAATATTAGGATCCATTTTTGCTTTTTGTCAGCTATAGGAACTGGGAGGGGCAATACTTAAAGCTTAAGTATTGCAGGAAACAGCAACTTGGCATGATTAGCAGGCACCTGCAATCTGCAGCCAGGTCCCTTTCTCTGTGCCACTCTTTGTACTGAGAAATGCTTTTTAAAAAGTGGTAGGGAGAAGCAAATGACATTACAGGAAAGGAAAGACTTCAAATGAGGCCCTTCTCTCTGATACCACCTGGCCCCTTGACCAAAGCGATTGTCTTCCCCTGAATTAAGCACAGAAACTTGTTTCATTAGGAGAAATCCCTATTCTTCTAAGCTAGGAGGAGTAGCTCTTGTATACAATTTGCCAATATTTTAAAGGACAGGATACTTAAGACAGTGTGTGTGTGTGTCTTCACGGTGCCTGCCCAAAGCCTTGCTGGTGCAAAATGAATGACTGTGAAGGCTAAGAGTATGTTCCCAATAGCAGATCACAGAGGTGAAGGCCCAACAGAGCAGTTTTGTAAGTGTACTTTAAGTATAACAATTTACTGTTAGAATGGACAACTGCAACACAAAAGTTCAATTAAGGCTAATGATAAACTTAAAGTCCATTGAAGCCAATGAGAGTGCTGGCCCTGCTGTACATAGTATTTTTTTCAACCCAAGCTGATCCACATGGAATAGATTGGCATCACTGTCTTTTTAAGATGGTGGAACTGGAATCCAAGAAAAGAATTTCCACAGTAGAAAGCAGCCCTGGTGCTGAATTTGCTGACAGATACATACCTCCAAGACATCATTCAACAGATTCCCTTACCTTTACCCTCCCTTTCTCACTCATTATTCTTTATCTTTTCTTTTTATCCTTTTCTTCGCATTTTCTGTATGCCTTGTTTTCTTTTCTTCTTTCTCTGTTCTTTAAAATACCTATTAATTTTTCTGGCATGTTTTATCATGCTTAAAAAGCAATAAAAATTAATCCAAGATAACATCTCTATGTACCTCTATATACCTCACACTCCAGAATGGTTCAACGTATGACCCAGTCATTTGGCTAGTGCCTCTTACACAATCTAGCAAAGTAGTTAGGCCTGGCACCCTGGCGTATACTGAATTGGCATAAGACCAAGTTAAGCCTGGTGCCAGCCCAGTCCACTCTGATTTTTCAGGAAGCAGGAGGTGTCAATGGGTTGATGAAATTCCAGGAAAATGACAGCAAGAACCACTTTAGGGAGAAACTGTGTGTGTGTTTGGACAGAAAAAAGCCCTGCAATTTCTAGCACGTCCCTGCCATACTCCCATGTCCTATCATTAGGCCCTCCACAACAAGGAATCTGAAGAATGGAACAGCGAAACAAACAAATATTCTTTTGTGAAACTGCATGTAATTATTTGGAACTGGAGGAGCTCTGCAAGAGGAATGTCTTTCCATTTTTCAGGAGGGAGAAGTGAGCATTTGGTTGCTCTGAAAATACTCATGAAAATGATCTGGCCACCCAAGGGCTAAGTGTTCTTTTTGCTCATCCAGATGTCTTCATGTTAGATTGAACATGTTAGACCTTCATGTTTGGTTTTCATCTTGCCTGCAAGGCATTCTTGCTCTCTCTTCCTATCCCAATGAATACGTGAAGGTTTGCAGGATACATCTGATAGGTATCTCTTTCTAGATGCTTACTGATCCCATTTGAATTTTATATATAAAATATATATATTGCGCATGATCTCAGCTACTTTCTGCACCTTTTAAATGATACATACCTTGCAAGACTCTGCAAGGTATACTAGTTTGATAGGACCTTTGGGGAGAATTCTTTACTCCTGGATTTTGACTATTGTTTCACTTGGATTTCAACAAAAACAGTAATATAAAACCTCAGGATCAACTGAATGTCAAAGACAGTGGATTTAAAACTTCAGACTAAATAAGGCTGCCTTTCCCAGCTATATGGATTTTGCATTTTGAAACATGGTTTGTCTGCAGAAGTAGAAATCTTATCCTCAGGATATAGGATGGCGTTTGTTTGCTTTTTTAATTTGGACTTATTTAACTCTCTGAACCAGATTGCGTTGATTTTGTTCTGGCACATTTGGGGAAACTATTCTAGCTGATTCCTGCTTCTTTCAGAATTCATTTTCTCAGTGTCAGTAACTGTGCTATTCATACAGCAGAAGCTTGCCAGCAACATCATTATTCATTCTTACTGTTCCAGCATCAGGAAGCTGTCCTCTCCCAAACCAGAAATATTTTTATACAGTGCACTTTAGTTATACATTTTACTTTTAATAAATTCACCAACAGACTTCATGAAGTAGACACATTGATCCAGGGTTTTACCAAATTTTAAAACTTCCACATAGATCTGATTTCCTTTACCTAGTTTCTTCCATTAGGGAGGAACAGACAGAATGCAGCAGTACTATAAGCAGAATGCAATCGTTTCAGGGCTCTCTGGTGGTTCAAGGGATTTTGTGTGCCTGTGTGTTTTAGCAAATATTAATATTTATGTTTCCCTTCCGCCTCAATCACTTTTACCGAATTCTTGGAAGCAAGTGCAGCCCACTGTTGAGTTATGCACCCATCAAGTAACTGAAGATGTGAGCGTGTTCTTTCCTATTCACGGTTGCCTACTGTCAAAATTTAAATATGGTTTCCATTGCCTTCCAGATTTCAACCCTGCAGTCAAACACCCTCATTCGGAAAGTGAAGCGAACGCTGCCTAGTCCCCCACCAGAAGAAGCACATCTTCCTCTGGCCAGCCAAGCTCACTCACAGATGTACATGCCTGGCCTCATGCAGAAGGGAGTGGGCAGTCAGCCCGTTCAGGTGACCAAAGCCAGCCTCCTTAAAGAACTTGACCGTGATCTAAAGCTGGTGGAGCACGAGTCCACTAAGCTGCGGAAGAAACAAGCTGAGCTAGATGAGGAAGAGAAGGAGATTGATGCCAAGCTAAAGTACTTGGAACTGGGCATTCATCAGAGGAAGGAGTCTTTGCTGAAAGACCGGAACATGCGTGATTATCCCTACCTGCGATGCCTGGGAGATAACAGGGACTACATGTCTGACAGTGAGCTCAACAACCTCCGCCTCTCTGGCTATGAAAGCAGTGGCCTCCTGGCAAGGCCCAGCACTGCCCCTTCAAACCAGTATGCAGACTTCTCCAGCACGCAGTACACATCAGCCGCCTCCTATACACCATATCAGTACCCCTCAGGACAAGCTGCTTCACCAGCCCCAGCTGCATTCCAGCAAACAAGGTTTCAGCCTCCGCATTACCCCCCAGCAAGCAATGGTCCTGCACAAAATGGCTTCCAGACAAGCCCGATGCCCGCCTACCCCACCCAAACTACATACCAGACACACAGCTTCACTCCAAGCACTGGCTATCAGTCTGAACTGGGCCTGCAGAGCCATCAAGGCTTTCGGCCTCCATACCAGGCCCAGACCACATATCCCAGTCAGGCGCCTCTGCAGCCTGCCACACAGAGCGCCCTTTTCCAGACCCATGCAGACACTCACACAACCTCCCAGAAGCCGAGGCAGACATCATTAGCTGACCTTGAGCAAAAGATCCCCACCAATTACGAAGTCATTGCCAATCCAACTGTAGTGATCTCTGCTGCCACCCCAGAAGTGACATATAGTACCACAACGGTGACCAGCAGCTATGACCAGTACAAAGCCCCAGAAGGGAGGCCAGCGGACAGGATTAGAGCAGTGCAAAGTCCCTCTACAACCTATTCTTCAGACTCTCTCTACACAAACCTGGAGCAGAACATTCCCCGGAACTATGTAATGATTGACGATATCAGTGAACTAACCAAAGAGAGCACTGCAGGGGAGGGCCAGAAAGGAGAGCTGCAGTCACAGAGCAGCAATGGGCGACATATCAAAGAAAAAAGTGACCTAGCAGACACAGATGTCTCCAGCAGGCCTTGCTGCTATTCCAAAGGAGAAGAAGAATCTGAGGAAGATATGTATGATCATCATGGCCCCGACCATCGGGGGAAAAGCTACCACAGGAGCTCTGAGAGCAATGGAAGGATGTCAGGTAGCTCTGCCTCCTATTACTATGGGGACAGTGATTATAGGCACACCTCTCGCTCAGACAAACATGGGTCCAGTATGGGAATACAGAAGCACTCTTCAAAAAACTTGGCCCCAGCTGTCATCTCTTCCAAACGTAGCAAACATCGAAAACAAGGTATGGAGCAGAAGATCTCCAAATTTTCTCCTATAGAAGAAGCCAAAGATGTAGAATCAGACCTGGCCTCCTATACAGTGACCACATCGGTCAGTAGCAGCAGTGTGGCATCCAGAGCAAAGAAGCTACAAGACGACATCACTTATGGTCTCAAGAAGAATGTATACGACCAGCAGAAGTACTATGGCACATCCAGTAGAGATATGATGGAAGAAGATGACAGAGCATATAGTGGTGGTCGATCCAGATCCTCTGGTTATGTGTCAAGCCGTGAAATCCGGAGTAGGTCTTACGAGAGAGAGAGCATGGAGAGGCCCCAGAAAGGAAGCGCCAAGCCTTCTTCCCTTAGTATGAGTCAAAGTCGTGGGCGACCTCCAATTCGCACACAAACGTCAGAAGAAGAGAGCCCAGTTAGTCCTCTGGGGAAATCCATGGGTGTATCACGGTCCTCTGGGGGACCTCTCCCTCAGTCAGCCGGGGATAGCTGCTCCCAGTTCTGCTCCAGTCACTCATTGCCTGATGTACAGGAACATATCAAAGATGTGCCAAGAGCCCACTCCTACAAGCATGAGGAAGGTTACATCATGGATGATTCACATTGTGTTGTTTCAGATAGTGAAGGTAATGGCTACCTGTGGTGACCTACCCCAGAGCATGCTCAAGTGGGCCATATTTGCAAAGACAATATTACAGCCTGAGTTTGCTTGCCATGTGCCTTTCACCCCCATTTTGCTTTCTGTTTTGGTGGTTTTGTGTTAGCATGTTGCACTCTGCATGTCCTACTGGTGCTCACTGCTTGTTCAGTGTGATCATGTGCTAAGATTGGTTTTATATTTTCTGAGTGGCCTCTGTGACATGTCCTATGTTCATGTGATAAGTTCCTTGCATTATTTTATTTCATTGCATGGCTTCAGCCTGGGCTACATTCCCACCTTTGGAGCAGGAGATTGACTGTGATCTGTTTTTGGTTTCTGAAGCCTATCACTTGGGCCAGGAAGAGACAGACTGGTTTGATAAGCCAAGGGAACCTCGTTCAGAGAGGATGAGGCATTATGGTGGCCACTCCTCATCCTCCCAGAAGAGGGCTCCAATTAAGCACACCTACCATGACTATGATGAACCTCCAGATGAAGACTCGTGGCACCATGATGACTACTCTCACCCACGTCACTCCTCTTCCAAAGAACACAGGCACCATGGAGACTACGGGAGGCATTCATCCTCCTCGCGCCACTCCAGTGATGATCTGCCCAGGAGATCCTCTAGGCAACACCCGAGAGATCCAGGCCGCCATGAATCACGTGGACATGGGCAGCCCTCTGCCCAGAAGAAAGCTCCACAAGCAGATACAAGAACACAGCCAGGGTATCCCTCCAGCTCCTCAGAGTACTCCCAGCAGTCCCGACAGCCCTCCGGCTACCATCACACCACAGAACCCCAGAAATCACAGAGGCAGATGCAACACGGGCTGCCATCCCAGCAGCCAAAGTCAGAGCCTCTTACGCACCCGCAGCAGCAGCAACCAAGGCAACAACAAGTCGGGCAACCACAGCCGCCGCCACAGCAGCAACCATCCCGGCAGCAGTCGCAGCAGCAGCAGCAGCCGCCGCCAAGCAGACAGCCGCAGCAGCATCAGACTGCCCCTTCGCAGCAGTCCTCGCAGCCACAGCCGCAGCCAACCAGGATGCAGCAGCCGCAGCAGCCGGGCACCGCGGCCCAGCCCTCCTCGCGGCCAGCCCAGCAGCAGCCTGGCCAGCCCCAGCCAGTAGGCAAACCACAGTCAACCCAAGCACAACCCAGCACTCACCAGGCGGGACCAGTAAGTATCTATCTTTGCTTAGCATCCATTCTAAAGTGGGTCCAGCGTGACTGGCTGCTTCCCAGTAAGAGTTTTGGACAACGGAATGGCCTACTCTGCATTACAGGAGCTGTGCAGAGGCAGCACTCACCTGCTTGCCCTGTGGATTTACTCAGTCTAAGTTGGGTGGAAAACCTCTGTCCCTCTATCTTTATAATGGCCAAATGTCAGAGATGATGGGTGCTGTAATCTGATGACCTCTGTGAGTCACAGATGCCCCACACTGGTCATGAGTATGATGTGGTACAGAACAGATGGACTGTGAGAATTGACAGAGGTTACTGGGAGTTAGATAGGTGGCTGCTCATCAGCACAAGGATGGGAGTTTGGAGAGCGCCCAGAAAGATGAGCTGGGCACAAAAGGGAAGTAAAGATGGACTAGGAACAATTTATTTTGTGGGAAGCCCAGATCCTCTAGATTTGGTACAGAGGTTTCCCTGGTTGTCACAACTGAGATAGCATCTGATGGCTAGTTGGAGACAACCAAGTTGACCTGTTAATCACTAAAAGGAACACACGAGAGGATGAGTTTCATGTTACAATTATTTGTCTTGAAATTGTATTGCTGTCCTCTTGACTAACATCTAGGAAGAAGCAATATTCCTTTTTTAAAAAAGCCCGATCTCTTTACTGTTGCAGCCTAAAGCAGAGCAAATGGATGCATCCAAACCTACCACAAAAGTGCCACAGGTGGGGAAAGCACCCCAAACCCAGCCACAGGGAACAGCAGCAGGAGGTCTGTAAGCTCTTCTCTCTCTTTACAGTATTTGTCATAGTATCTATTGCCTAATGAATGAGACTTGTACTCACCAGGCAAGACTCAGTTCTCTAAAATAACATCATTCACTCTCATCAAAATGAATTCCAAAACTATTCACTGTAGAAAATAGAAACAGTGGAAGGTCAAAAAGGCAAACATTTGGGATCAAGCAATAAGCTAGTTGTGGTTGGCTCCAAAGGGGATGCTAGTCAGTACAGAGACTAGGATTGTGGATTTCGGGAGACTAGGATTGTGGATTTCATAGAAGAGTTGGCTCAAGGAAGATACCTAAAAGTGCCCGTCAGCATCATCCCGTGCGGGCACACAGTCAGAACTTTACCTATAGCCATGGCGAGTGGATGGTCTTGCCACATTAGAGATTGGACATCGGTTGCATTTTCACCCTTCAGTTTCAACTTAAAATGCTCCTTTTGGCAAGAAATGTAAATCATGTCTTCTGTTTCTTGTACCTGCATATTCATGCCTCACCAACCCACTGTATATGTTCAAGTGTCACTATTTTTGGCTTCTTAGAAGTAACATGCCCACCATTTAATAGTGCAGGTGGTAGGACTAATAGTGCAGATCGGTTATGACTACTGTGCATCTATAAGTGGACTATAAACCGAAGGAGAAGTAATTTAAAAATTTGTGAACTGCCACTTGAGCCTGCCCTAGGCGATAGGAGATTGAACTGAATTATATGAATCAACTTCTGTCTCTCAACAGGCATTAAACTGGGTCCAAAACCAACAGGAGCACCCACTTCTGCAGGTGTAGCAGCTGGACAGCCAGGAGCAGAAGGAGAAAGTGTCTTCTCCAAAATCTTGCCAGGAGGAGCAGCAGAGCAAGCAGGCAAACTGACAGAAGGTGAGAGGTTTCTCAGCCGTCTTTCTTGGATACCCCATCTCCAGGTAGTGAGGGAAGTGCTCACGGATTTTCTGTCTTCAAGCTCAGATACACGGACTCGCTCATAGCCTCCTACAAGACTGGCAGGAGCTCAGAGCAACTGACCAGATGAAGTAGAAAAACCATGTTCCAGATTGCCCATCTGTGAGATAGCAAAAACAGATAGTCAGCAAGAAAAGTTAAAATTGTGTGAGGAAACATGTCAAAATAAGAAAGGTGGGTATTTGATAGCAGAGGAACAGAAGAAGCAAGCATGGCAACATCCGAGACCATCACCACTGCAGGCCAGTGAGTGCTCCCCTGGCTGTAAGGACCACCACTGCCTTAAAGGAAGTCACCTGGTACTGAGTTTGGCCATGGGTTTCTTGCTCACCAATGCCCAACATGGTTTTTTCTGACTAATAGTCGTTCTTCTAGATCCAGCATTGCATCTGGATATCCAGGTGGCAGCTGTGGCTAGGAGTATGTTTGCCCTGCTACACCTCTTCCTGGAGAAATGAGGTCAGGCTAGTTATATATACCTTCAGTCAGTTCCAGATCCGATTTCCACAATACAAACCATGTACACTGCTCCTGAACAGTGTTCAGAAACTGCATTTGATGTGCAGCCACAACACTGTCTGATATCTGTTTTTGGATCGTGTTACACTGTTTCCCACTGGATTCCTATTTGTTTCTGGGCCAATTCAAGTGCTGGATGGCTATAAATAATTGTACAGTATATGGACTAGGATGCCTGATGGACCTATTTCTGCATGAGCCACAGTCCTCATGAGAGGCCCCATGCTCCACCAGCAAGGAAGAAGCAGCCGGCAAAAACACACAGCAGGCTCTCCTTGGGAGCTGCGCCTAGTTGTGAAATTCTTTCCTCGATGAGAACTGGATGTCTCCTTGGTTCATGGATGTCCGGCAGGCGGGCAGTGTGTGTCTGTTTTGCCAGCTCCCAATTTTAATAAATTCAATCTGCCACCTTTTAAAATTCCATTTGTTTTTATAGCATTTTACTTTGTACTGTTTGCAATTTCTGATGTAGCAAGATAGTATTTTTATCGTTGAGAACCATTTGGGGTGTCCTTACAGGGGCCCAAAAAGTAATGAATGAATGAAAGAAAAACTACACCCTGTGAAGATAGGGTGACAACAAAAGAAGATCAGTTACAAGCCAATCTCTGCTACTGTGTAATGTGAATGAGCTACTTCAGGCACTGATTTTCTCTCCTTTACACCTATAGCTGTGTCAGCCTTTGGCAAGAAATTCACATCACTTTGGTGAGAGAACACTACTGGGTAAGTCACTTTTGACCACTTGGATACACAAGCCCCGATGACTGTGTAACTACCGCACAAAGATTAAGACTCATTTAATCATCCCTGGCCGTGGCAACTTCAAGAGCTAGTTCGGGTCAATGCCCATTCTCCAATAGAAACCTTTAAGATCAAGGTTAACCAGCTGCTCCCTTAATCCAAGGATACTTTCTGATGCCCTGATATTTCATTTCCTTTTCTGTAGATTTTCATTTTGTTTTTCCTAATAGCCACCCCTCTCTCTTTTCTCTGTGTCCATTACCCTAACAGGAGTTTGGGAGAATATGTGGAAATCTCATCATTGCACTGGAAAAACCTATGAAGAATCCATTGGCATTCAGTCTGCCGCTCCAGACTCTGAGTATAACAGTGAGTGCCCCCTGCCTTCTTCCATACCTGCCTCTGTTGTATTCCATCAAGCGTAGGAATGAGAACAGATACAGGACTTGGTTTGCATCAAGGATCAAATGGTTCCCATGAGGTACAACTCTGTAGAGAGACTTAATTTACCAAGGCGTAGGGCATTCTGCTTGATAAGGCAATTTGTTCATACCTTTAGGTATGTTACGCCACTTCCAACCAAAAGTACATCATACTGCTAGTGAATGTGTCCAAGAAGTACTCAGGCAGGTTTATAGGGTGGGGCTTCAGAGGCTGTCTGAAAGGAGCTGGAGGAGAAGGGAGAAGAAGAACTCCCGCTGGGCACTCAGTTCTTTTATTCCCAAAGGTAAGAGTAGGAGATTGATAGGAATGGGAAGATGATCAAAATATTCATTTTGCAAAAGTGGAGAAAATGCATCTCGTTTCTGCGGTACTTTGTCAGAGGCTATCAGGACATCAGAATGACTCCACCGTTGTAGGAGGCTTACTTTGTGGTGCAGGCACATGCACAGAGAGCCACAGGTCTCAGAGTGCCAACGCAGATGCAAGTGGACATCAAAAGGCACAACAGGAAGCACAAAGTGAGGCTACTTGTTCTTCGCTCCTTATTTTTGAGGAGAGAGACGCCCCTTCAGTTAGCAGTAATTTTGAGCACTGTATAGGACAGAAGAAAGAAGGCGCTATTGTGCCCACTACTTTGCCAGGCAGTACTGGGAGAGGCAGCATGGCCCTGTGCAGGATGCTCTTCCTTTGAAAAGAGCTGAAACGAGAGAAGAGAGGAAAGGCGGGCGGCCAGGGGTTACGCCACCCTCTGTGCAGCGCTCAGTTCCAGGCTGCTGGCAGTACAGGACTACTGAGCTCGCAGGTCGCAGCCCTAAAAGCAGGAGCAGGGAGACATTTTTGCCAGGCTGTGCACGTTGTAACCTGGGGTGTGCCCACAGCTTCTCCACTTGCAGCAAAATCTCCCTTTATGCCTCTGTTTCTTGCCTGTTTTAGGGAGCCCTGAAAGTTGACATTAAACAGGTAGCTGCTTATTCTTCTTGACTCCAATGTGTCGAATGCAGTGTAAACCAGGTCTGCATCCCAATCTGAGTGAAGGATGAGTTCAAAGAGCTGGCCTTTTGGGGAAAGTGTAGGGTTTTTTGATCTTAATCTTCAGATAAGCCAAGCATATAAAATCACTGCATCTCAGTAACTGGGCAGCTGATCTCAATACTCGGCTGTTCAAGCTCTCTGACTGACAGTCTTTTGTGACTAGTCCTCCAATTTACTTTGGTATTGCTCTGTTTCTTTGGGGGAAGAAAAGATGCACAATGCAGCAGAACAGAGTTTTGTCAGCAAATGTTCTTGTGAACACCCAAAGGGGATCAGGAAAGTGGGTAGCAACCCATGTGCCAAGAGCCTTTATTTCTCTGAATGACTCCTGTAAACATGTTTCTCTTTTTTTGTCTCACCAAGCTTTTGAAACCATGGAGAACCACTAGGTTGTGAGACAGAAGGTTGAAGAGGTGTTTATACAGAAGTCTGCCTGTGGATCCCACAACAAACTCCTTGAGGACATCCAAGCCAGCCGTCCCGAATGGCTTTCAGGAGCCACCTCTTGTCAACTCCAGCTGTATTGTGTGTGCCCCAAGGGGTGAAGGCAGATTCTTAATCGAAGAGGATGTACATAAAAGACACATTTACAGAACTTGAGTCTGATCTGGCTTGCCACACACGGACACAGACTGGCCACTTCCCTGATGGGCCAGGAGGCAACTGGGACTCCAGAGGCGACCCGTGGCTGTGGTTCTATTTCGTGCCTAGGGCCTAATGTTGGGTTAGGGTTGGGGGCCATGGACCTTTCTCGAGATTATACACAGAGTTTCTCTCTCATTGAATTCTAACTCTAGAGTCTTCATAGGTTTTTCCCAGTCTCCAAGATGTACTTGAGTCGAGGGCTGGGAGCTGGATGCTCCATTCTCCTTCACATTCCAGTTTGCCCCGTCAATCCCTCCATCTGCACAGTGTTTGTTCCCTCTCATCATCCCTGCAGTGGAAAGCATGGGACGAAGAGAACTTTGACTAGGACCTAACACTGTTTCACTCCTGAGAAAAGAGGCCATAGGACTCTGAAAGGCAGTGCAAACTGGCTGACTATTGACTGAAGCAAATGCTGGCCAGGCATGTCTATCAGCCACCCAAAGCCATCCTGAAGCCATTCTAAAGCATTCAAATGGCAGTGCTTTCCATTGTTCGTGTTGCGCATCATTTTATGTATGCCTGGGGATTATTTTTATTTCAGAAACAGCCTTAATCATTCCACTTTTATTTACGTGTATACCTCATCAACACCCAGCAATTGGGCGTTTGGATTTTGGTTTGTTTTTCTGTGAGGTTCCTTTTTTGTTTTGTTTTTTACTTTGCACTGAACATGCTGTTTTCCTCTTTGCTTTGTACTGAATTAGCACGCGGGCTGTTGCCGGTAGAAGCAATAGAGTGCAGACGGCCATACAGAGCACAATCCAGCGTGACGAGATCAGGAGAGCTTGCCTCTGCCACCCTCCTTCCTACTACTGTGCAATCCAAGTCCTTCTTAAGCCATGGCCAGTGGGCATGCTCAGAACGATGGAGGAGCAGAATGTCACCGAACCGGCCAGCATGGAGCTCTTTGCACTGGAACTGGCAAGAGCTGAGCAGAAGACCCTGTGAAACCGCTCCTTTTTTGCTGTAAAGAATTCAGCGAGTGTACAGATGCTCTGTTGCCCATTTGTCCATGCTGTCTATTTCCTGCCCATCTCTCATCCATGCTGAGCATGCTCAAGAACAACAAGTCATTGGTGTGACCCACAGGAGCTTCCATTCGCCATGGGTAACAGCAAAATGATTCTCACGTCTAATGTTCTATGCAATGAAATAGCAAAATTTTAAAAAACAACTGTTAATATTTAATAAGTTCAATGTTATGTATAAGGATTTAATTGCAGATGTGCTATCAAGAAACTGGATAGATACCTTTATATTGAACACCTGTGTGTATGAAGTTTTCAATTAGTGGCATGCTTGACCCGTTCGAGGGACACTTTTGCCAAAGGGTAGCCATAGAGCCGGTGACTGTCTCTGTCTGTTGTAGAGCATGGCTTGCTACTTCTCTGCACGGTTTCATCTACTTAGAATGCTTGCCGTTCTTTGCTTGAGGTTAGTTCATTTTATTTTTTCTCCAGTTGGTTCATCTTCTACATTGAATGCCATTACCAGATTTATGCACTTGTTATCGAAGGCCTGTTAGTGCCACCATGAAGCATAATTATCCTGCAGAATATAACACCAGATGTTTTCCACTGTCCACCCTTTGCCACATCCTTCCCTGCAGTAGCCAACAGTGTCCACTTCTAGGGGATCCTCTTTGCTAGACCTGAAGCACATTCCTCCTGTCCAAAATTTAAGTGCAAATCCTCCCTAGATTTGAGGTGCTCCAAGGATGGGATCCACTGACAAACTGGTCAGTCAATGAAAAGGAACCACCTGATTTCCCTTTGTTAGGTTCAGAGCCTGGGGCAAGCAGAGATAACCTCTGTTCCCGCTAGTGCAATAACAATGAAAAAAGGCCTCTGAAATGCAGCTCTGGAGGCTGAGCACCACTGAAAGGTACAGATTTCCTTGCACAGATGAATTTAAAAAATGAAACATCCATGTCAAGAGAAGAGAGAAGAAATGGTTGAGTGGCTGGTATCACTGTGTTATGGTTGGTTCTTGAAGAGGCAAACGTCTTTCAGATTAGAATTTGCAAAATAAACTAAGCATGTTCCTCTTTGGTTACTAATGACCCGAGAAGGATAAAGCCAAGTTCTGAATGCAGCACAGCTAACAGCAGAGGCGTATTGAGTTATTATATTAACCTGGTAAGTTATTAACAGCATAGAAGCATCAGGAGGGGTCACAAGTCCCCGTGTGCAGGAGGGCATGCTATCCATGGACAGGTGGACATTAACGGTAGAGGCACCTCTGCTCCCACTGAGACAAAACTTTTGTCTGGCATTTGAAGGAGAGCTCGGCAGATGAGTGAGCCAAGGGCATCGCACACGCTGCATGGAATCAGGCGTGGGCACCGACTGCGCATCAGTAAGGTGCAGCAGTTAATCACGGCTCCTGGACTAATGCACCCATATGATACCGGTGCATACTCTCACATGTTCAGTTCAAGTGTCCACTGAAAACATCTTAGATGTACTGAAACAAACCTGTGATGTGGCCTTTGGATAGCTGGTGGGATCACATAGACATTTTACTGTCTTGGTCAAGGTCTGCATTTTTAAAAGCCTTAATGTTGTAAGAGACAAATCTGAGCAACTTGCATACAAAGCAGTGTATCTCACAACCAAAAAGTGATGCAATTGAAATACATTAAACACAACTATAAAGGAAAGCACCAAAAGGCTGAGAACACACACATGCTCTGCAATCTGTGTGAGCTGCAGTGACCTCTCCTTGGTGTCTTTAAGGCCATGTTCGCACAGCAATTACCTGTCTTCCCAGTTTATCACTGTTGTACCCAACTAAAGTCATGGGGGGATGCCCTGGAAAAGGCAGGTACCTTTCTGCCTGGTA